CGAAAACGAATGCCCACAATACAGTATCACCGACAGTTGCGAATTGGCCTTCGAAGCGGAACTATCAGATCGCCTCTCAGCTCAATCATCATCAGTGAACACTGGTCGGCAATCAAGGAAGCGATCCAAACGTCGATAAAAACAACGGCAAATTCTGGTGCACGATCAAAGCAAAAACGATGGATCTCCCCGACCTCGGTTGCCTTGCTGGACGCTCGCGAATCCATTCCTTCGGATTCAAACTACGACGAAGCGCGCAAATCCCTTAAACGCNTACCCTTCTGGACGCTCGCAGAGCCGTTCCTTCGGATTCATAATACTACAAAACGCGCAAATCCCTTAAAAGCCAGCTCATCAAGAGTCTGAGGAATGACCGCGAGAAGTGGTGGGTAGGAAAGTGTAGAGAGATGGAGAAGGCTGCGGCTATCGCAATCTTTTTCGTTTAATTAGGAGTACAGGACGAAGGAAAGCAGGCGTAAGTAAGCTAATTAAGGGGTCTGACGGCACACTGATTCAAATTTAGGAACGTCGTCTTGAACGTTGGGCAGAACATTTTAAGGCACAGTCCTCTTCGACACAAGACCTCCCCCCACCCAGTTCAACTGTGCAATTATTGCCAGTTGACATCAATCCTCCATCTGAAATGGAGGCTACCCCGGGAAATAAGTTATCTCAAACGGCATAAGGCTTCCGGCCCCGACGAGCTGTTCCCATCCGTTTTTAAGGATGGAGGTCTAGCATTGGTTTTGGAGTTAACAAAACTCTGGGGTTCAGTGTGGGAAAAGGAACAGGTTCCAACTGAATGGTGTGAATCGGTGATCATACCGATTTACAGGAAGGGCGATAGGTCTTCTTGTGAAAACCACAGAGGAATTAGTTTAATCAACATTGCTTCTAAACTTCTCGCTGGTATCATACTCTGTCGATTGTCTGCCGCACGTGAACGGTGTATGCGTGAGAACGAGGCTGGTTTCAGACCTGGTCGAGGCTGACCATATCTTCACACTTCGTCAAATTGTAGGACGTAGACACTCCTTTCGTAGACCTACCATTTCTGTCTTCCTCAACCTAAAAGCGGCTTTCTACTCGGTCGACTGCTCTAAACTCTGGCGCTGCCTTTCCCTGAAGGGAGTGCTCGAGAAGTGAATCGCAATATTACAATCGCTTTATATTATTAGCCGAATTAGAGCTCACGGCACTTCTTCACCCGAGTTCACCACGGAAAGTGGTGTTCTACAGGGTTGCCCTCTCTCCATTTCTATTAAACTTCGTGACAGATTTAATTCTTGAAACAGCTCTACCCTCGTGCGAGGAAAGCGGTATTTATTTATTCCCGGGTGGCAGCCTGTCTGATCTAGAGTATGCAGACGATATTGAGCTACTAAGTGAAGATTCAGGTAATTTACAAGCTTTTCTGGATAGTTTGAGTGCTAGTGTGTCCATTTTCGGTATGCGTTTTGCAACTTCAAAGTGTAAAATGTTGCTCCATGATTGGCTTGGTGCAGCACCCAGTCTCACTCCGACTGAGAAAGTAGTAAAGGAAGTAGACAAGTTTTGCTATCTGGGCAGCTATATCTCACCTGGCGGACACATCACAGACGAAGTGTCCGCGCAGATACAAAAGGCTCGGTTGGCATTTGCCAACTCAAGACATTTGTGGCTCCGTCGTGACACCCGGCTGTCTGTGAAGGGTCGAGTATACGCTGCAGCAGTTCGGTCAATCCTGCTCCTATCACTATTCTATATGAATTCTCCATCTTCCGCTTGAATTCGCTTTCAACTTGCCAATCTTCATTCTGCTCTTTTATCCAAATGGGGTACCAAAAGACAGTAACCAAAACTGGCGCATGAAAAGGCATTGTTAATGGTTGTAAAAACTGAACTGGTGCTATTGCCGTTTGGGTGACTCATGTTTTTTATGTTTACATTAATCGTGGCTATTCCACCGGGAGCTTGTATGCACTTGTCTTTCTTGTTTTGTTGGAACATATCTCGGGGAGTGAGGGGGGTTGGGCTGGAGAGATAGAAACCTATTAGCATGTAGTGCAAATAGTCTACACACTTTCACGGTTTATTTTCACTATTTGGGCGGGGGTGGATGGGTAGGCACTTCGCTGTAATTACTTAACTTATCAGGAGTGATGTGGTTTTCGGAAACAATAAACTGAGGAGCCGGACGAATTACTGGTTTACCTTCATGCCCTTTACCAGCCCTATTTTATTCCTCTTATCTATCTATTCATGTCCTGTTCGAACCGGATACACCGTTTTGTCTTGTTAGATTAGCATGTTCCGAATCGGCACTCGTCGAATTTGGGATTCTCATGAGTGTGAATAAAAAATTGTGTTCCGATTCAAGTGCCGGTGTATCGACGACATCTTTTTGACCTGGCACTAAGGGCTCATAGCATTTTCAGTGACAGAGGACTATTACCTCTACAGGCCGTATTAGGAAACTAGTATTGCTCTGGTGAACCTGCAAAGGTATGCACTGTGTCATGCTTTTCTCTCTCATTTCAATCGATACCGCCACACACGCGCAATATATTTTCCGATCAATAATTGTTCATATTACTCTGTCCAGTCGACTACCTGGCTCGACAATGTCCCATTCATCAGGTTGCTCAATTTCTGTTCCCCTTTCTGGCTCGCCAATTGGGCGGGCGCTCACGTCACGTGGAATTCTATGTTCACTGGGCCGATGCGCTGTTGCGAGCACATGCTTTGACTCTGCGTCGGGGTGCGGCAGTCTGGGCATTATCTTCTAGCAAGCTGACCAATCCGGTGGATCANGGAGCTGCAAAATCCGGGCATTCTCATGGAACGAGGGGAGTGGGCTGCCTGCCAGGCCAGTTTGATTCGACTGCAAACCAGTCTGAATCGTGTCAAGGCGAACGTGATTCAGAGGTATTTGGGTCGTTATTCCGTGCACACTAATGAGAACTTTTTATTCGGGAGAAAGATTTCGTTTTTATAATACCGACTTTAATCACATTCGCGTCTTTTTCGAAGACACCCTTATCCTTGTTCATTAAATTGACTTTCAGGGATGATACTTCCCACTTCATCCTTATTCACACGGTTCGGTTCATCTAGTCACCAGCACTGTCATTAAGCGCCCATCGAGTAACAGCAGAACTAGATATGTTTGTATGTATTTGTGAGTTCAGCGCTACTATGCTCAGTGAGCACTTGGCACGTGGTGCTGTTGAGACGCTGTTAGTCGATCAACAGCTCTTCATATGCTTACCGGGTGTGCAGTTAGTTTTTGAACTGAAAGCGGAACGAGACATGTTTGCGCGATTCCAAAAAACAACCCATCTAATACTGTGTACCCCCTATTACGGACGTGCTATCGTTTGTACATTTGTCCTATTAAAAAAAACGGTGGAGAGAATTGTTTCTGGGTGTTATATGCTAACTTAATTCCTTTCGTAAATACTATCTTTTCGTCTGCCGACATTCACACATTCTACGTTCTACTCACATTGGCCATTCTCGTGCAGTGTTCTCAAAATTTCGTTTTTCTTTCATTTTGTGTGCCTCTCTCTCAGCTGAATATTGCTAATTACGGTGCTGTTATATTTAACCAAAAACGACCGATTTCCGGATTTGTTCAAGCAAAGTAAATTAATGTTATTACGTCGCGGTGACAGATCAAAGACTGGTTTGCCTTGCACAATTGCCCGTGTATTACTGCTGTCTGTCTGTTCGCCCCAGGCGATGAGAGAATTTTCATCGGATGCTTGTGATGAAAGACATCTTCCTCTCAAAGTGAGACAAAATACTGTTAGAACACCAGAATACATTGGGCATTGTCCTCATTTCGCTTGATTGAACACGGTCATTGTCTGTGCTCCGCATAGATTCAACTGCTCTGACCGATACCGCCTTTCGCTTGAAGTAGCAGCATTAAAACAACAAC